TCCCTCCCTCCCCGCCCCGCCGCGACACGGGCGGAGCAGCCCCCCTCCCGCCCCGGTCCGTACCCTGTAAATCCCGCCTGAGGAAGGGGCGGGCGAGGAGAGCTCTTGCCCATCTCATTGGGAGGAAACTTGGCTGGAAGCTGGCTTATCTTGTGTAAGTGGTGTTTTAATAATAAGGTCGCCTCAAGCATGCCGTTTCTTTTTCTGAGAACGATTCTTTTGACAGGGCTCAGTTCAGCAAGTTGAGCGTATTCAAAACTTGTGTTTACACCGTGATAGAGCTGTTCTGGTACCAGGTCTATATTAGCTACGTATTGAGCTGAAATAACTTTAAGAATTATATAAATGAAGTCTTCCAAGTGAGACTCCTGTAAGGAGATAATACCTCTGTTACAATGAACGTGCAATAAATGAGGTACTCAGCTTTAATTTTGTATGCTGATGTTTAGAAATGCTCTTACTGTGTATAATATATTTTTGAAGCTTTTTGCTGAGAATGTTTAATTGTAAGCATATATTTTCATATAATGAGAACTCTGCAATCTCGCATGTGTGAGGGAAGTCCTCATGCCTTATGCTTGTTAGGGTAACGGAATTGTAAAGGATTTTTATGAAAATGTTTATATATGTAGGGGTGTGTGTGTAAATACACATGCGCACATATGGTATTTTTAGATTTCATTGTTATACTAATATGTGTTAGTTATAACTTAAATATGGTTTTCAGACTACCTATCTTTTTGTAAATGGAGTGTATATTGTGTGCTTTTATTCCAAAAAACCAGCTGGCATAATTCTTTATTAAATGAATCTGCATCAGCTACCTTTATTTATAAAAGACACATATGCAGCACCATTTTGATATCAAACTTAGTTGATGCTTTCTTCTTTTTTATGAAGCTGAAATTGAAACGCAAATGTTTATTTCTTAGGTACATCGAGAGACAGTGTTAATTTCTGTGATTGTTAAAATCCTACAGGTGGGATTGTTTTGCATAGAAAGGCACTTTTTCAGTTATCCTTAAGAAAAGCGTTAAATGCCAACACTGTTAGACGTGTTATCACTTTATGATCAAAACATTAGGAGAATGTTTATAAACTTTAGCCATTTCCCTATGGTGGTTACTCTAAGAAGGTACGGGCATTCATGGTATGCAGTAAACAAATAAACGCTACATGATTGCAAAATGATTTTTAAAAAATTATTGCATTATCAGTCTTCCTGTAGCTGTGTTCATTGTTTTAAAGGCATTTGGACACCGAGCAACATTGTATCATGTTCCTTTGTTTTCCTTCTTTTTTTAAGGGGTTAACTACAAAGTTGCGATCGGTGCAGTCAACGGTGGAAAAGCTCTAAGACTAACGATGTTACCAGCATGGGAAGTGTATCTCTATGTGTTTATTGCAGTTGGCTCTCACTTTTATTCTTTCTATGAAGTGTACAAAGTTTCCAGAAGTAAGTCCATGAAGCATATGCATTCACTTTTGTAGTGCTTCTACCTTGTATGGCACATGAGATTGCTTAACTTTATTTATCTGTTAGTTTCCTCTTCAGTCAGGCTCCCACAGGGCTCCCAAAAGAGGCTTTTGGGCTGGAGCATCTATTCTTTTTCTTGCTGTAAGTTAGGAATATAAAAGTAAACATTAGCAAGGAGGCAGCTATGCAAGACGTTTTGTGATGAGGCTTATCAAGAGTTTGTGCTTAAAATCGTGGAAAGGTTCCTTGGTAATGGTATCGTGATGCTTACTTGTCAGAATAAATGATGGAAACTTCTGAAGTCTAAATTATATTATGAAAGGGAACAAATGTGTGCTTTTCTCTTAATTTTGTAAAACATGCTTTTTTTTTCCAGGAGCAGTAAGGCCCTGGTGAGGCAAACTGTAGTGTGCATGGTTGAGTTTAACACCGTGATTGGCCTTGTAAAATTCAGTAGTCTCTCTGTGTGCCAGAAGTGAATACGTGGAGGCGTTGTAGGAACAGATCCTAGATTAGAAGCTGATGGAGATGAGTGGGCCAAGCACATGGCTAAAATCCAGGGATTTCTGACTTCTGGTGCACATCTGACATTTTGCTCCAGTGGCTTTGACATGCATGCAGGCCATAGGCCTGCGAGTGCTGTGCACAGCACGGCCTTAACTGTGTGCGTGTAAGGGCTAATTAAGTTCTTTGAGTGTAACCTCTTGAGTGAGTGAGCGCTCCCTGGTGACAGCTATTCAGTCTAGCTGAAAGGTGACAGAATAAAGAGATAATGTGGGTTATGGTTTTTTTATATATGCTTGTAAGTTGTCTTGCTTTTAAGGTTGCTTTTCACGTGAACAGCATTCTCCTGCTGGTGTTATGTATCTGTTGTATACGTAGATGTACAGTATCTACATATGCATTGGAGCAGCAAAATGTTCTGTGTCTGGGAAGCGCTACCTAGCTGACAGCGAACCCCATAAACTTTGCCACGGTTAAGCCAGGCAAGAGGAAGTGCTGTAACCTGTCCGTCCTAGCGCAGCAGGACATCATAGTTTGTTGCTGAACAAACATCACAAGTCTCATTCTATATAATCTTCAATGATTTAATGCAGCAGTGTCTAATGAACTTATAGTTAGATTACAAGTGAAATAAATTCCGCAGTAGCAGAATTTTTTCCTTCTAGATATGCTAGAAAGTGAGCAAAATACTACAACAGGCTATCAGGAATATTCCTGTTTCTCCTTCAGTTGCCTTGCCCGTCCATAGATCTTTACTAACCATTAGCCAGAAATGCTGTGTATTTATTATAAAGTAAATGCCAAGGCTTTTGTCAGCTTGTCACTAGGAACATCTTTGTACCAGGCTAAGGGAACATAGCAATAAATACTTTTTTGTGCATAAGAGGTCCTACTGAAGTGCAGAGGAACTATTTATGGTGCAAGGTATTGACTGTGGTTTTTATGTCTTTGCAGGGTCAGGGCCTTTTTTTCTGTAGTCTGTCTTTCATTCAGGACCGTACTTGTCAGTTCAGCTATGTGTATTCCTTACTTTGAGCACAAGATTATTTAGCTGCTGAAGTAAGGAAAATACAAAAACAAACAATCCCTCTGAATTTGGTATTTTCCTTGTTAATCTTGAAAACTATCACCTGCAGTGTTTTAAAAATCAGCGGTTGAGAAAAAGGTATGCTTCGTGATTATTCTGTATTTTAATTGGATCTTATGTTACTGGTGTTCTGCAGCAGAGAATGTAAGATGGATCTCTTAATAAATAATGTGTAGTAATTTAAAAAAGGTTCTGTGGCTAACCTTTTTAATGATAACAGAGTTAAATTTAAAAAACCAGACAAATTATGCATCAAAATAGGTTTCTCAGCAGATGCTTAAGAATTTATTTTCTGGAATTGCGTGCACCTGTTCTCATCTATTTACTCAAAGCAGGCTTGCGTAATCATGTTTCCTTTCATAAGGGGGTTTTAGCGCACATGAGTTCTTTTCTGGCTGTGGGGGTTGCTTATGTATGAAATTGAAAGGGGTAAGGCAGATATTTAAAGGACGTAGTGATCTGTAATTCATGTTTACGTTGCAAGCAGCTTTGCTGCATTTCTATGCTGATGTCAAAACATCTGCTCCATTTACTCTCACTGTTAACTGAGCTGCTACACAAATTTAAAGAACTATGGAATCGTCGTTTCAATTAGCATATTAAATATTCAGTTTCACCTGTCTGCTGCTGGCTTTTCCAGGTTTAGTATTCACAAGTGTCTTACCTGATTTGCTGTACTCCTGTAGTAAAACCTTTCAGTAACTGTTTTAACCAAGTAATTGAACTTTTTTTTTCCCCCTCCCTCAAGTAGCCTGGAGTTTGCCCTATGAAGTGAAGGGTCTATTGAGTAGCTGAGGTTTCTTCTTGCACTGTTGGAAGTTATTACAAGAGTTTACATTTAAAATTCAAAATGTATAATTTGTGGGCAGATTGTTGTTTTGCTTTGCCAGCGCTAGGGAAGGAAGGGAATCACTTGCTGACCTAGTAAGAAGCACCAGACTTGCGTCTAGGGAAATCGGGTTTGAGACTTGATGTGTGATATAAGCGTTGGAAGGATTTTAATGTGATTCTGTTTCCCCGACAAGTGGTAGAAGGTGCCTAGTCCAGTGCAGTCCAGATTTATCATTGCTGTGCTAAAAGGTCCTTAAGGCTTGGTTATCTGGGGAAGGCAGCAGGGAATGTGTTGCTAACCTGCAGTGAACTCTGGAATTAAGGTATTCTGCTGTTAACTTTCAGTGAATGCTCATTTATTTATGCAGTTTATCAGCTCTTTTAAAAGCATATGAATATTCTTTGAATATTCTCTTTTTAGCTGCTACGTTGTTTTTGTTCTCTTTAGATTTGGCTGTATATTGAAGATAATGGTTTTAAAAGATTTTGAAAGGGGAAAAAAAAGCTATATTTTGGCACATTCTTATTTTAGTGTAAACAAGTGTTGTATTACATAATTAAAAATAATAGCTAATTAGAGAAATGTGTTGTTCAGTGTTAACTAAAAGCCTTCCCAAACATGCTTATGTGAATGAAATTAAGGACAGGAATATGCTTCCACAGAAATCAGTGAAGTACCCCATAAATGGGTACTGAGAGGTCCATACGAGTTTGCAGCACTGAGCCGGTTTAGAAGGTAGACTGCTTCGTAGAAAACCGACTCTCAAGGCCCTATTCTCCGAAAGGCTTCATCATATATTATGTCGTATTCAAGTCTCATGTCTTTCTTTTCCACTAGAGGGAGATATGAAACAGTCTTAAAACACTAGAAATAATGTTGATTATATGCTCTGCAGGTTAAAACAACCCAGCTGTGATTTCCCTTGTATCTATTCTACTTATGATTTTGGATTATAATTCTTAGCATCAAAATCTGTTTTATGATAGAGGATAACAGCTGGTGAAAGCAGAATTATTTTTTCCACCTATATTGGAAATGTCCTGTGTAGATGGCTTATAGGAATTTGGAGGTTAAAACTGAGATATACTTTTCTCATTAGTGAGAATATAGCAAGTTTTCCCTTGTGTACTTCTACAGTAATGATTAATTTTACACAGTGTAGCCTTTCCATTTAATTATAATTCTAAATTTAATTTTGTTTTATGGTTATATTCAGAGCCCAACACAGGATCAGCATGCCGTTATGCAAAAAATGAGAAGAGAACGTTCCTGAGCTTAAAACCTCACTGTTTAAGGCCTGAGGCTGCTCAGATCAAGAGCACAGTTGGAACAGGAGCCAGAGTGCTCCCAGTGGGAGCCCTTTGAAAAACTGAGTCTAATTAAACACAAGTGCAAGAACAGGGCATGACGAGCAAGACAGACGAGCAGACTAGTAACCCTGTAACAATGATGTGGCTACTCATGCCACTAGTATGCTTGGCTACTGATGGCAGAGTGGAAGATGAGTATTTTGACTCTGACTGCAGTTCTGTAAGGAGTGGATCTCTCCATGTTTTTTTCTGGGAGGTTTTTGTTGAAGTGGAATGGAAATGATTTGTATGGAAGTGCTGTGAGGATGAGAGCTCTCCCCACAGCGTCATTCTTCATTCTCTTCAGTTAATTCCATTGATTAAACAAGAAGCAGCTGATAGGAGTGGATCAAATTCTAACCTGGGCTCTGTCTCTGACTTAAGTTCCATCTCCTCTCTGTGAATACATAACGGCTCTGTAGATCCCACTTGTACAACAGGATACCTTACAGATTGTGAGACGCGATTAAAAACTGCATATAAAATTCTGTGTAAATACTAAGCAGGACAAGTTTTTCCTTTATTTCCCTGGAACAGTTTATTTCCAGTGCCATCACCACAGAAGGTTGCTCCAGGTCAGCTAGGTGTCCTCGAAAACATCAACAGTTTTTCTGTACTTAGTCGTTGTGGATTGACAAGATTTTTAGAGAGTGGTAGAGCAAAGATGGATGTTTTCCTAGATAAGAGGAGGAGTGTGCTTTTCTGCAGATTTATCTTTTCTACAGATTTATCTTCTGTATCACAGTAAGAGGCAAAAAAAATGTTTCAGAGATTAATTTTTTAGTTAGAGCTTGAAGGTTTGCAGAGAAACTGGAGCATTTTTCGTGTAAATTTTTAACTTTCTTCTTTTTTTCGGCTGAGCATGTAAGTGCTTACAGACAGCTTCTTGCCGTCATGAAATTGAAGTGAGATTTGAAGTTTCTTTGACTATCATAGTTTTTCTGGGGAGGTGTCTAGCTGGTTTTGAAATGTATTTCATGGGTTACTTGTTCCCACTGCAGTAAATATCTGCCCTTTATTCTGGTGCATTTCTAATGCTCTTTAGAGACCAACAGTTATGTGTAAAACAATGAATATTTTCATTATACTTCAGTGGTACAAGTACAACTAAATGTGCTCTGCATTTGCCACTGGTTAAGAATGCTTCCCTGGCCAGATATTGCAACTGGGCTGATGAATGGTAACGTGCTGACTTACTTGTGCATGGTGAAGTTCATTAGCCTGTGTAGATCAAAAAGGGTTGGAAAATTGTGTCCAGTGGTCCGGGCTATTATGCATTCATCATCCAAAAATTTAGGATCAGTAGAGGTTAAAGCCCAGGAGCTGGCTAGAGAAGGGCATCTTGTTTATGTCCGCTGAGTAGGAGTAAATTTTGCTGGTTTGTTTGCCTCATGCTTCTAAAATTCCTTCCGTGTAGAAATTGCCTTTTCCCTGGTGCTGAGTGTCCATGTGTGTGAAACAGGGAGAATTTGTTGCTGTTTGGAAACAGAGTGCCGTGGCACTGACTCTTGCTTTTCTTAGTGTTCTGTCATTACTAAAGCTGTATTATTCTTTGCAGAATATGAAGATGAAATTGACAGGAATTTTGGATTGGAAGAGGGCGTTCTGTTTCGGGGGCTTAAAAAGGTATGATTAATGCATGTTACCAACATTTTTAGTTTGTAAATTCAGTGTAAATGTCTGTCCTTGACATTCATTAAAGTCATCTTTCAGTAATCTAGTATATTAAATGAAGTTCTGCTGAGAGGCGGAATTCATGGAACAAATTACTACACTGTATGTTGGGCTCTTTTCCTTTCCTGAGATGACCCCTTAGTAGGGAATGTTATTTTAACGTGTTTTAATGTTTTTCAGATTTTGTTGACGTGGTTAGATATTTCTCTCCATCTATATAGCCAGACTCCTGTAGTGTCCTGAATCCAAAGCTCCATGAAGAACAAGAAAAAAGCCTCCAAGCATAGATACTGCATAAGTACCATTTTTTCCTAAATGTGCCAATACGTAGATGAGCACCTCTTTATGAGAGGGCCTGTGGTACTTAACTTTTTTAACATGTATTTCAATTTGTGTCAGAGCAGGCAAGCTTAGGAGTTTTTTTGGGGGAAACAGAAAAATGATTAGTTTCCTGCTGCCAGTGCTTTTCCTTCTCTGCACCCTAGTCTTATCCAAACTGCCTTTCAATAGCATGAGAATAAAGCTAGCAAAACATCTCCAGGAATGATATTTGCTTGCCCAAGATACTGATTTAGCCTCAGAAGATTATAAGAAGATTATAGGTTTTTATATTCATAGTTAAGTTTGTTTGTTTCTCATGAGGAAAAAAAGACTTGCCTGGTGTACCCAGACCTAGCAATTCTAGTGGCAGGTTTTTTTCTCTTGTTTGTTTGCCAGGAGTGTTTTTCAGTAGTAAAATCACTTAATCGATGCTGGTTTTGGCCTTCAGGGGACCTTTCACACTCCCAGTAGTCTTTTTTTCTATTTTTCAAGTCACTTGGTTGTTTGGATAATGCTTTTGAAAAATTTTTTACATGTAAATGATATAAAAGATTATTTTAGCAAAATTAAAAATGCATATCTATAGACTTTAGGTACCCATCACCATCGCTGTGGGACCCTTCATGTGTGTTTTGTTATTTTAAAGAAAACAATAAGAATTCTGAAAATTAGAAGCTCATATGAAATGCTAAAATTAAGTCTAGTCATGCAAACAGCTGCATGCATCTGTAAGTCTTTTAGCTTTTAGTGGAGCTCTGTACAGGAAATGGGACTCCCAGCATATCCCTTCTGTCTGATTTATGATGACATTTGCATGTAACAGGAATTTCAGACTGACCTGACTTCATCAGATCAAAACTGGGTTTTAATGAAACAGTAAATGAAGCTTCTCTTCAAGCAAGGTGTATTTTCATCCGATTTTTAACTTCTCCAAGCCATTTTAGGTTTGCTCTCCATTTTCCTCAAAAAAGTCCAGATAAATGCCTATTTTGATACTCAAAGTAATCTGTAAAGGCTTTTAAAAAATTCTGTGTATAATTCAGCCGAAAGTATGATTGTGCGGTGTGAAATACCTTACAGTAGGATTTGGCATATTGTCCTTGCTTTCAGAGCATAAAGTAACCTACCTGCCTTCTAGCGAGGAAGGTAAGTGCTGCATTTTGGCATGGCATCCAATGGAGGGCGTTCAAGCATTGGCAATTGTGGCATTCTTGTCTCTAAGAAGAACATGTTGCAGATGTCTTTATCAAGGAGGGAAAATCTGAGAAGTCAGGAGGACGGTTAAAGCCAAGCAGTGGAAGTCAGTGTTTTGACTTACCTTTTCTCACCAGAGGCAGGGTGTATTACTTTCCGTTTCTTCAGCCTTTAGAAATCGTGACTGCTACTCTCTATCCCTTCATGTTACCCAGGTTTGGCTGGTGAATCAGTACAATTACATATGATCTACCCATCATATATACCAGACAGGGCTTCCTTATCACTCATGCTGCTTTATTTTCACTAGGCGACTGTTGAACATCTATAGCAACAGGTTTGTATTATCTGCCTTCCTCTGAAATCTTGCCAAAAGCCACTGTGAGGAGTGCATGGCTCATGAGTTTGCTTCCTGCTCAGAGTACGTTTCAATTTTGTTGCTGTTTTTTTATTAGATTTCAACAAAAGTAAATGCTCAGGTAAATACTGAAGGTGCCCAGCACTTAATTGCACTCATAGTAATGTTGTAATGAGCATAAAGCACTTGCTAGCAATAGATTAATTCATCCTAGATGCCTGTTCCATCAAAAGAAGTGGAATATATAGGATTCTGTCACAGAACTGGATTCCAAAGCTTGTGTACTTTGGAATGGACTCAGGGTCTGAGCCATCTGTGATCTCTGTCTTAGTTGACAGTAGGAGCATTGTCATACTGCTCTGCACCTGTGTCCCCAGCAGGCTCCTGGTAGTGTTATCTCTATATGCTGATGGAGCCAGTGTATGCTCTGGGTAGCTCACTTTACTGTTTCTTGTACTCATGCTCTGCTCTCAGCGTCCTATTGCTCTTCAGCCTATAGCGCTAAAACCACTGGGTAGCCTGTTCTTTTAATTGGGTAGGAATTTATTATGCGGCCATGGTTCTGGGAACAGGAGAGTTTCTGGGGAGCAACTTAGATAAATGCATGAGTTTCTCAGTGCAGGGGTGCTACAGGACTGCTACACTGTGACTGCAGCAGCTCCTAAAGCTCTGTTCTCTTTTTTGTATGTAGCAAATAGTAGAGTTGCTTGAATGATTAAGCTAACAGTGAAAAATGACTGCAGTGACCAGTAGGATGCTGGATCGGCAGGCCTTGCTCTGGCCCTTAGTGAATGTGAGTCAGCACAGCTGAAGTCAGGGAAGAGACATGAAGTGACCCCAGCTGGCCTCTGATGAATGAGCCAGTAGCTGATAACTGTCCTAAGAGACTAAAAAGCAGATATGATCAGTTTTAACTCCACACTGTTCTGTGCCTGCAGGTGCATTGCCGAGTGGAAGAACACACTGCCTACAGAAGGGAGACAGCGTTCTGCTGGCAGACAGAAGGGGCAGTCATTTCGTGTAGCTCTTTCTTTTGGCACATAACTTAAGTTTACTGACTTGGAGTCTGAATGTTTGTGAATGTGATCTGATAGGACTTCAATATTCAAGATTTGGCTTCTATCACGTATATCCAGATAAGAAGAGGGCAGAGGGATTTATTTTTATTGTTCCTTACATCAATAGGTATTTTAATTTTCCCTCTGTATATCACAGTTGATGTAGGTACTTGCAGTATTTTGGGACAGTGCTCACTAAGAACACTGTTATTTTTCCTGTACTTTCAGCAGTGAAGAAGAGTTTATGTAAATTGTTTGTGTTAGGCCAAGACTTTACCTGTACATTGAGAGATCAAGTTGTCATGAAGTAAGCTGTAAAGAAATCCTATTGTATGTCCTTTTTCTGATATTTCTTGAAAATATTAAAGAGGTAAATGCTTGATAGTAGAGAAACTACAGGAAAATAAATTCCAATTATTTGTGATTAGTCCCCAGAAACTCGTAGGTGTAAAGCTAATAAGTCTGAGATATTCCTCCCTTCGTGAGTTCTTGTACCTCATATCATGGCTTTTTCTTCTTCTCCTGGTTGGGATTCCTTAGCAGCTGTGACACGTGTGACTCAGGACAACAGAGGAAAGACAATTCTGTCCATACTTGCTGAATTAGTATTGATGATTGCCGTTTTCATATGGCTGCATTCATAAACTGTGGTGCATACATTCGTTTTTCTTATAAGCGCTCAGAAATGGCAACGCAGTTGATAACACAATTTGAACTTAATAGTGCATGGAAATTTTTTTTTTCTTAAAACGCTAACAGAAATGAGAAAAAGAATAATTTCTGCTTAAATTATATCATGAGTTAAGAGTAGTCCCAATTATATCATGAGTTAAACAGCCATTTTGGATTAGTCTTTGCTTTTCCACAGGGAAAAAAGCCTAGGATTAAAAGGAAAATATATTTTAAGGGATAAGATACAGTGTCAGTGCAGACAGAGATGTGAATTTGTCGAATTTGAGTAGTCGGGGAATAGTAAATTCGGACTAATTTGCTGTGGTGAGCACTGCTACCAGCTAAAGATCGGAGAGAGATCAGGATTCATCATATTAAAACTATGTTAGTCTGCAAAAATAGTCAGACACAAGAGGGAAATCTGACTGTGGAGGCAAATTGACTGTAGTGTGATGCTCGTGTAGCTTTGCAGTCACAGTTTCCATTATCTTAAATTATTTTTCTGTGCTCAGTTTCACGTGGAAGAAACCATCTACACAACAGAAGAGACAATACCAGTTCTCCTTCTGCCTCACAACAACTTACCTATGTGCTTAACTTTCTGTTCTGTCAGTTCAGTGAAACTATGAAGTAAGCTACTCACTTAAGTGTTTTTGACCTTTTTGCCGAAGTTGTGTGTGAACAGACATCTGTGGCTTCTTGAAGTTCCACTATACAGAGGAAAGATCCCTGAAGGTGCTGATTTCATTCGTGTGGAGCAAGTCTGGGACGGAGTTGTGGCTGGCTACAGTGAAAGGAAAGTTTGGTCAGAGTGCTAGGGACAGGCGCTAGCCCTGTCGGTGGCTCTGATCCCAGCTGAACTGAGGGAAGTAGATTTTTTTTTTTTTTTTTTTCCCCCCCCCTTCATGTAGCCAGATCTTAGCCCAGGCCAGCATGGATTGTTCTGTCAATTTTCTAATAGTGATTTTTAAAAAAAGTGTTAGTACTTGACTGCTAAGGCAATGAGAAAATTCAAACAGAGTTCAAGCAAGTGGAAGGATTTCGGGCAAGTTTACCTTCTACCGGAAAGAACGGAGCTGCTCAAAATAATTATTTCTCTCGGGAGGAACTCACTCTAGATGTTCGCTGCAAGTTGAATGAGCAGCTGGAAGTTGTCTTTGTTGTTGCTTTGTTGCAAGTTTGTCCTGAAATTTCAGGAGCTTCCAGGTGGTGTCTCAGAATGGCTGTAAGACAGCCAGATGGACAGAGACTCTGAAACGTACTTTCTAGGCATTTGGGGTCAAATCTTCATCTCAGTCCTGTGCTAAGATATCAGGGGTCTTAAAGAATGACAGCATTGTTTCAATTGTATTTCTATTGTATTTCTTCCTTGTGTGGGTTTTTTTTTAATTGTGTTGAGTTTAAGTATTTTGATTCTGGAGGTAGTTGGGTATTTCTTCTGGTATAATGCGTGCTTGGTGACATCTTGCAGTGTCTATGATACCATTTGCTCTGATGCGTTGCTGTCTTTCATGCGATTCCTTTAGCAATTTGTTGTCTAGTTGAACAGTTTGTTTTGAGAAAACCCTTTCCTCCTAACACGTGGAACGTTTCACATGTAATTTCTCGGCCTAGCTGGAGAAGAATGTTCTTCTTTTCCTTAGTTTCTTCTTTTCCTTCAGATTATTCTTGAATGAACTTCTAAATATGTACTTGTTACCCTGAGCAGATAGTAGGAACTGCTCTTTCTACAAAACCTATGTACAGGTAGGAACTTTTTCAAAAACAAAATATTTTGTTGTGATCAGTCTGAGACCTCAGGCTAGGAGCCAAGGTAATATATGTAGTTTTGGAAATTTTTGGTAATACATGTACATGTCCATTAGTCCATTTTTGTAAAGTTAAAAATTGCATAAATGCTGAAAGAGTGCCAGGATAATCGACCTGAGTTAAGGTAACACTGTTATGTGGATCTTGAAGTAACAGAGGTGCATAACTGGGTAATCCCAGGAGTAGTTCAGGTGTATTTGCAATTCCTTCTTTTCCCCCTTTCCTCGACATAAAGCACTCCACTTGGAAACTGCTTTTTTCCTCCCTCCCTCCAGCTCCGTTTGACTAACGAGCTTGGTGAGGGTGGAACAGAGCCTGAAGAGCATGTGCTTGCTTAAAGGACTGTCCCTGTTTCAAACACACTTTGTACACTTCATTCCCATGCTGTTCAGCTGTTATGTACATGAATCCTAGTGAACATGATTCAGAATACATACTGTTCCTTTAGGCCTCCTAAAGAAATGTTATAACTGAACAAAAACAAGTATACATTTGATGAATGGGAAGCACTTAAAAGTGGGAATCTTATTCCATCTCTGTGTGTTCACTAGTTTGTGTCGTGTTCTGGGAGACCGTGTGCGTGTGTGCATACGCGTGCCCGTGCGTGTGTCTGTGTGTGCGCCTTATGATGTGAAAATTCTTGCAGTATTGATGGGAAAACTTAAGACTCCTGTCAAGTTATGTTTGGATCTGTCTTTAGGTTTATGAAACATGACACTGTCTAAAAAACATTTCTATGAATTTTAAACAATTTGAAGTCCAAATGGAGTTCTCAGAGCTCATCACTGTGAATAATCAGACTTGGCTGTTCAAGCAATAAATTTCTTACATATTGCGTTCTGTGATATTGGATAAAGGATCCGGTATTTTATTAGGACATTTCATTGTCTTTTGAGAATATGTTTTTGTGGTTAGACACTCATATTTACCAATTCACTTGATGCCCTAGGATCCCCTGGATTTTGAGTGGAGTTACTGGATAGAATGGGGAAGGGAACATATACTGTGGCTTCTGGTTGGTCATCTACTGGTATCACAAATGTCCAGGCTCTTTATGGAAAAGGTATGTATACATTTATTTTGCAGCAGTGAGTTTTCATTTGTTTTAATTAGCTGTGGGATTGGAAAACCAAGCATTTAGACTACAAACTGATGAAAAGCAAGTTCTGTGGAATGCGTTATTTAAATTGAATTGTAATGATGTACAAAGTGAGGAAATTGGTTGCATTAGGTCTACAGTTGGACACTTCATACCTTAAACTTTAAAAATTATATTTTGCTGTGAAATACTAAAAAATATTATTTAACTTGTATACATTAAAAGGATGTAGGTGTTCTCTTTCAAGATCTTGAAATGATGATTGCTCAGTTTTTGGTGTGATGATTATATGAAAAATAACATGAATATGCAGTTCATGACAAAGTAGCAGTTCTTTGCCTAGAAAATCTAAAGTTGTGTAGCTTTTTTCCTTTGTATATACTATCAATGCACAACGAGTAATGAAAGTATTTTGGTTTTGAGGGCACTGGTTAAGCATAGAGAGAAATGTGCTATAATACTGGAATTTTCAAGCTAATGGAAGTGCCCTGATTCTGACTAACTCTGCTGAGAAGACTCTTCATTTCCATTGACCTGTGGTATCGAATACCTCACAAAATAGTTTATCATTTTCACATATTGGTTACGGTCCAGCTTTGGCTATTGCGAGAAATGCTGAATGAGTTTGACAAAGGGCAGCCTTCTTTGCCCTGCTGCTGTGATTCTTCTACAGAACAGGGCCAGCTCATGCCATGGATAGGGCGGGGGTCCTGTGACAGTATGTCATCATGTAGTTGAAGGAGGTAAATAAACACTGCACACGTTGAAGGAGATGAATAAGCATTGCACGTGTCAAAATGCCCCAAATGAAGCTAGCTTCTGAGACGTGAACCTTTGCAATGTTTATACGCTGGTATATATAACGTCAAAAATATTTTAGCAAATGGCTACACATGTTAGACAGGTTGCATCCTATGGCGTCATATTGGCATCGGTGTGGATTGATCACGGGGTTGCAACTGCTAGATTTAGTGCACAGATTTCTGCCACGTGAGTAACAGTAGGTTGTCATCCTCTATGTGGACTAGCAGTGAAAGCTGTGATAACTCTCTGAGATTCCCATGCATTCACTGACAGCAAGGGAACAGTGTGAGGCAGGTGCTTTGGATCATACTCCTGTTTTGGCAAGTTGTATTCTCTAGGGTATATAGACTCTTCTCATTTGTCTCAGCTATGGATACTGTCACTCCTTTTTCTTCCTTCTGCCCTGCCTCCTTTCCAGCTTTACTTTTCATCCAATTTCTAATCTCCACTACAGACTAGTCGATCAGAACTCTTATTGCAACCTGTTTGCCCCAGAGCTCCCTACCTGCCACATTTCCCCACTTCAACTCTGTACAGTCATTCACCCTTTCCTCAGCAACTTGTCCCAGTCTCTACTTCCCGTACTTGGTTTCTCTTCTCTTTGCATTTGAAGCAAGGACCTCTCATCTCAGTGCTGTTTTGCCACAATGACGGGACCATTAGTTATATGATTAAACAGGGCTATGGCAAGTTCTAAAGCCCTGGTACGTGCCCCTTCACTTTGTTTAACTGCTAGTATGATTCCTGGCATGGTTTTGGCGTATACCAGAGGGCACTCTCCCAGATGTGCCTTGGTGTGGTGTGGATGATAGCATGGCCAGCGCTCTTTCCAGAGTCATCTTTACTCTCACAGAGGTACCTAGACAGAGATTCAGGGTGCTCCACAGGAGCTATGCTGCAGCCTGAAGCACAGTCAAGATGGATGAAATTGTTAAGAAACATGAGCTACAGTTTTTAAAGGCTAGTTAATATTTTCACCAGATGGGGGCCAACTTGGGCTTCTAGCCCCAGCTAAGATCATTCCCGTATCAGAGGGATCTCTGAATTGTTTGAAAAACAAACTGTCAACATTTTTCAGTGTGAACAGAACAGCATGTTTTCCTTCACTGCATTTTTATAAGTGGTCAAACTGCTTGGGTTGCAATATATATATATTTTTTTAAAAAAGGCCTTGCCTGAACAATTTCAGCCTAAATTGCAGTTGGGCTGGCATCTCCATCTGTTAAGATGATTGCCCGGTATATCCTGTTGGACGCTGTTCCAGGTGCTGGTAGTTCCAACAGTCTGTTTTAAACGTGTGGCATCCTCTGTCATAAATTGTATTCTCGGTTTATAGTAGGGTAGAGAGAACTAACTGAGATTATATAGAACTTGAGCCTGAAGTTGGTTCATTTTATACCTCAGACAGAATAAATATTTTTAGTAATGTTGGTGGTTACTGGTCAGTCTCATTGGTTGGTCAGTTCTGTTTTTTATATCCACTCCTAAGTTTTTAGTGTGCTACCTTACTTAAAACTATAGTAAACATTTATTCATTTGTTCTTTGGGGGTTGTGTAGAATGTTTGATACCTGTTTCTGTGTTTTCAGTTGAGAAGTTTATTTAAAAAAAAAAAAAAAAAAAAGAGAGAGCTTCAAGTCCCTAAATAGATTGGCTCTGTTGAAATGGAGAGGTGACTGCCAGGAGTTATGGTTCATGGAATATATACTGGACGACACTGAGGATATCTTTCCATAGTAATATCCATAATATCACTATTATTGCCACTATTGCTAGCTCTTTCTCAAAATTTAAATTATCTTTATGCATGGAAAATAGAATTAAAAATACTGGTTCCTGTAGATAAAAAGAAGAAAGGATGTGATAAATCAGTTAGATCAGTTTTGAAAAGAAGAGGTAAAATGCAGGATATGTATTAGTAATCGTTATCAGGACAAAACGGGCATCACAAGTTTTGTTGTGGCAGAACGGGCTATGGCTTGTCTATGATACTGGACCATATAACATATTTCAGAGGAGGCTGAAAAATCTTCAAGATGCTGAGTTGCTAATAATGTTCCAGAAGACGTGTCATCTTGTCTCTTGCTGGAGATCCATTTCTGTCCTGAAGCATGTGAAATTATGGCCTTGGCAACTTTCCTTTGTGTAGTAAAGTTGTACATAATCATTTTTCTCATACAAATAGCTTTTTGTAGAGCTTATGTTGAGACTTTCTGTTGACTCTTGGAAGTACCACCCGCAATTTAGGGCATACTTTATCTAGATCCCGAGAGTCCTGGGGCTGGAACAGTAGCTGTTCCTAATAAAGGGAATAATCACATAAGCCTGCGCAACGTGTAGTCCCTTGTAGTTCTTAGAGAAGTTTGTCACGTGCCAAATAAACCCGCAAGATTCTGTGACTGTAGCACAGGAGGGCTGGTGTTTGGCTCTTGGTAGCTCATAAGCAGTTCAGGGTGGGCTTTCAGACCTGTTCTGTTGTGTATCTATGGGGAGAGGGGCTGTTTATGTGCAAGAGCTACTTAGTTTAAGCACCCGCAATGCCTGGCTCTGCATGAAGGTGAGACAGAGGCAGGAGCTAGAACTTCAGACCTCAAGGCTGTACTGGGATCTAGCTACATATCCAGCCCAACTCAGCCTAGAACGGATCACTAGGAGACTGTTTTCTTCTCCGCCTATCAACCAGGCTTGAAATTCTGCTTTCTTTGGTTGCTTTAACTATTCAGGATGTGATTTGTGGCACTCCCTCATAGGAGTTTTGTGGTGTGTAGCTTGTAGAGTCCAGAGAGAGTTGTTTTAGTAGTGCTGTTTATACAGAACAGGAAAGAAGTCATGCCTCGACTACAACAAAGAATACTTTGATTAGTAATGCATGGGTGCCTCCACACAATTTAATTTTAGATGTCTAACTTCAGCATCCCACTTGGATGCCCCCTAGGAGCACACGTTAGTTACTTTAGTAAATTTTACCTATATATTGTCAAGGGAGAGAGGCTTCTGCAGAGAATTCTTCAGAATTCCCTTGTGCAGAAAGCTTTGATGAACTGTAATTTAGGCATGAGTGCTGCCTCAGAATCCCATTTTATCACTTTTAATTCCTAGGCCCATGCTTAGCTATGAATGGTCTTCCATAAGACGTGTTTTCCTAGCTTTTACATTCTTACACAGAGGAGACTAACATTCTTGAAATTCTCTGGAATAAGAATATGACAAAAATATGATATCATAGGGTTTCATCAAAGTGATCAGATTATTAATAGGCAGGATAATTGTATTTGAGTTTAATGTTCACAGAAGAATCAGTTTGGATGAATTAGATGAGCATCAGTCTCACAAATTTGATGAATGAATTTCTGCTCTTATTAAACTGAAATGATTTTCAGGGTGATTCTCTACTTTTGTTTTTTGAATATAGAGTAATAATGTGCAATGAGGTAAGTGTATGCACCTTGTCTGGGTTCTGATTTGAAGTAATCCTGAAATATGTTAAAAGGAAAATTGGAATCGGACAGCTGGAATTGCATTGGTTGTTTCTTCTTAGCATCATGTTGTCCTTATTTTTAACATTTCAAAAATAGGACAATGCGAGAGACATCCAGTCAGTCAACTCCAATGAATTGTAGATAAATGTAGAATACTGCAAGGATAATGCTCTCAGCCTGGATGTTAACTGTGTGTGCTTTTGTCCTTACCTTAGAGATCCTAGAATTCTGTTGAAGATCATAGAAAGCAAGTGTAAATCCTGTGGCATGTTGTAAGATTTAAAAAAAGTATATACATTTGTTTTATTTATGATCTGCGAGACCTGTATGGCACTTCTGTCTAACAGTAGTATTTTTGTAGCTGTGATGGTTTAAGAATATGAGTGAAGGAACTTAGCAAGATCTGTGGTGAGAGTACCTGGCTGAATGGTAATCAAGGTGAAAGGTAGTTAATTCATTATATTTGAGAGTGTTTTTGTTACTCTTCATTTGGTCTTGAAATTCCTTTTAGATCTGTATGGTTTATCATGTCTGCTCCTTATTCCAGGAGGTAACACAATTCTCTTTTTTTTTTTTTTTTTTTTTTGAAGGGGGGGGGGGAAAGACCAGATTTAATGAGAAAATGGAAGGCTCCAAGCAATGCCTTTTCTTACTGGGTTTTGTTATATAGTGAGAAGGAAACATTGAAACTGCTGTTCTGGTGTTTGGTTTGATCCAAATTTGGTCTCAAGCTCTGTTGGACTACGTTCTGTTAGAATGCATCTCCCTTCCGTGGTGTCCTCTTATTGATGTGAAAAAAGCAACCCTACTCTGGTCCTGAAGGAGCTGTCTTCTGCTCTGTTCCTGCTAGGGCTCATACTAATGCATAGGAAAGGCCATCATTGTTGGATGTCATGCCCTGCAAGAGAGAGAGAGGCAAATTGATCAGGAGTGCTGGAAAAGGTACCTTATTCAAGTTAAACACTGCTCAACAACTGATAACGTCTGAGCCAAACTGGTAGCAATTAAATTTTGTGGTGTCCTCTGGAAGGCTGTCACAAAACTTCACAAAAATAAACTTCCTTTCGTTCTCTGAACTAGGGAAGAATTGGGATCCTAATCCAAGAGCTTCAGGGAGTCCATATATTTCATACATAGTGCTGAGGTCATTAAGAAATCCCTTCTGATATCTCTTTATCCATAAAGTTACGTTTCTTTGTGTAATTTAAAGCTGCTTTTAACCTTTTAATTTTGTTTTTTTCCTTACTATAAAGCATACCTGGAAGAGTCTGGATATTAAGTGTGTTTTTAATGTTTGAAATAATTGAAGTAAAAATTGATAATTCTTTCTTTTCTTGCAGTATAAGCCTTGGTGTCTGATGGTTTATGGAATGGTGGCCTGCTGGTTCCTGTTAGGAATCAAGGGTTTGGCAGTGATATTGCTACATGCAATTACTTCGTTTGTTGTGGCTCAGTTTAAGATACCAGTCCTGACATGGATGTGCTCTCTTATCCTGTTATCCACCTTACGCATACCAGCTGTGGAAGAAGCAAAGGTAAGTTCAGTAGCCTGAATTAAGTCTGGAAGAACTTATTTATGGCGTTATTTGTCATTACTGTAGTTATCTTTTTGCAAAACTACTACTTCTTCAGTTAAGCACAGGTTACCTCAGAAAAACTTTGAACGTTTAGCTGCATTCAGCCTTGGCAGAGATTCTAAAAATAGAAATGTAGATATGTTAATAAGCATGGTGAGCCCTCCCGTTAGTGGTCTCTGTCCTGTGGATTCAAACATCTCTCAAGACATGAGGAATTGAAAGACAGGTCGCTAAAATGGTATGTAACCCGAGTCATAACACTTCCTGTTTCTCTGCAGAGGCACACGGTTGAGGTAACTCTGAGAAGACAGAGGACATCCATTTTAGTTACTCTTGTAATCTTTTAGATAATAGATGACATGATTAAGTTAGATTACATTTATGCTACATGTTAGCCTGCTGTATCTTCCCTTAAAGTTTTGACTACGTTTAATTAAAACTGTCTGTAGCTCTGCTTGCATTTGTTATTGTATTTGTGCTCTTCCTTTTGCCTTGTTCTATTGTGATACTGTTTATCCTGCAGGATTCTAAAATGGCAAATGAGTTGATGAATGAAACTGGCAATCTGTTATCTGAGAAACATCTAAACATTTTGATGGGAGAGGGCTGTTGCTTCTTTGGTGTTAAAAGTTGTTTTGTGTGTGTGGTGTTTTGGTTTGTTTTTCTTTTAATCCCAGAAACTTAAGAAAAGGAAAAGGTAGGGGAAACAGGAGGTTGCAAGCAATGACTGTAGAGAAGATGCAGCCTTGTAGAGTCATTTCTTGTCAGAAGGCTCTGTAACAGAACTCTTTCTGCACATAAGAAATGACTGAATTCCTATTCTTAATTACCCCCAATGAACAGAACGGTTCTCTGGAGGATAATGTAGTGGTCTTTCGTTGTGTAAGAAACAGTTCAATGACAAAACTCAACAGGAGATCCACCAGCATGCTGTCTGCTTTGTCTCCTGTCTCTTTAATTGATCTCTGTTCTGTCTACCATTTTTGAGTTCCTCTGCTGCTTTCCTTTGCCTCACACTTTGTCCTATAGTAATATTTCTTTTTTCCTGTAGCTTTTCTTCCCTTTGTGCCACCCTCTTCCATTTCTTCATTGTCTTTGTCCTGACTGTGCCATGGATAGTGCCTCTTGGATGAGTGGGTATCTTCACACTGACTTTAATGTGTGCAAGAAAAGATCCACTGAGTCTAATGTGAATTTTTCACTCCAATGTTTATGTACCAGAACACCACTTGTCTGCTACTAATAGCTTCTTTTCCTTGTTCAGTGAAGGGAAGCTAGAACAGCTTCCTTATTATGTGTATTCTACTGTTTGGGAAGCACAGTGAAGGTATCTAACTGGTATCTAATGGGAAGCAAACTGCAAATACACAGCTAATAAACCACAGGAAGACTTAGGAAAACTCTATAAAGCAACAAAATAGTATTTAATGTACAACAGAGTGCAAATGATTGATAGCTAAATCTCTGTCCATGGTAGTTTTCAGTAAAATTTCACTATAGTACATAATGTGAAACTTACCTCAAGAGAATATCAGAGAGGTCTGATACTACATTATAAAAGTGTCCAGTCACTGTGGTGATGTATTATTTATAATTTTCTTGATTTTTATGTTGTGTGAATACGTGATTAGCCATAGAATTGTAACCTGTGACATGAAAAAACACAGTCTGAATTGTCTAGGAATATAAACCCTGCACTATTTACCTAGATTAAGAGAAGTTCTCAAAAAATGAATAAGGATATTATAATGGATGTCCTGAATACAGTTTCAAAGCTCAAACATATGTTTGCACTCTGCTGTGAGATCAGCAAAGGAAAATGAAAACAAAACCTGAGTCTTGCTCTCATTCCCGTAGATCTGATTTATTGAAAATGGGGAACGTGTCAAATATCTGAACATAATTTTTAACCTTTCTAAAAAATATTCTAAGATTTCTTAAAATAGCTGTGGTGTCTTGAACTTCAGAAATGTTTGATTTGGATCTGAATTCTTTAGCAGATTTAGTATTTGACATTTCTGTGGTGAATATATGATGATATTGGTACAGGTCAAAAACCATTTCTGCTGTTCAGTCTTCCAAGCACTGATGGCTATTGCTGAAATTCTTCCAAATGTTTCCTAAGCATTTTCACCTAATTTTTGTTGTGGTTGCTCAGATCCTTGCCCTTATCCTAGACTATGAATTCTTGTTAGTGTTGTTGTCATCAAGCTACTTCTGTATGATGGAATTTACTCCGTTTTGATATTTAATTTTTTATTCATGAGTTGCTATCTGAAGTTCCCCTAGAACTTCCTTTGTGTTCAAAATTTCTTTAAATGTATTTGGCTTTGTTTTGGCATTGAGGCACCCACACCTCTTCCTTTCTTTTATGCTGTCCGTTTAGAATAGGGCTGTAATACATTATCCACCTGATTAATCATCTGAGAAACCCGCAGATTTAGGGCACTTGTTTTTCTTCGTTTTGGTCTGCCTATTATGTTCTGATTATGAAAAACCCAGTTACCCCCCCTTCTCTGTTTGGGTTTGGATTTTCAGATCAGCTTCTTGCAATGTGGTTCAGTCTCGCTACGTTTAATTGTAATTCATGAGGAGCATCTCAATCATGCTGATCAGTGCATTGAGATGAAATTATGTGCCATAGTGTCTAAGTGTTATTCAATAGAGATAGGGTGTGATAAACAAACAGTTTACTAGAGCTCTAGTAAATGCATTTCTGCTTCATTAGAGATGTAATCATACCAATTTAAAGTGTCGATTTTTGGGTTCATATCTAGAAGTTGCTTAGTCAAGCCTGACAGTATCTTATTTGTGAGTGCAGGTTTCTGCATGGGAACGAAATCCGTTTCTCTAACGTTTTGATTTATCCCAGGCAAGAGTTGCCTACTCAGAACTCATATTCATGCAAATTCATTTTTGTTGCTCTTATTCTCAGAGGGTTGTGGTCAGTGGTGCAGTCTAGTTGGAGGCCTGTAGCTAGCAGTGTCCCCCAGGGGTCGGTGCTGGGTCCAGTCTTGCTCAATGTATTCATCGATGACCTGGAGGAAGGGACAGAGTGCACCCTCAGCAAGTTTGCTGAGGATACTAAACTGGGGGGAGAGGCTGACACACCAGAAGACTGTGCTGCCATTCAGAGGGACCTGGACAGGCTGGAGAGGTGGGCGGAGAGGAACCTTCTGAAGTTGCACAAAGGCAAGTGCAAGGTCCTGCACCTAGGCAGGAATAATCCCATGCAGCAGTACAGGCTGGGGGTTGACCTGCTGGAAAGCAGCTCTGCAGAGAAGGACCTGGGAGTGCTGGTGGACAACAAGTTAAACATGAGCCAGCAGTGTGCCCTTGTGGCCAGGAAGGCCAACGGTCTCCTGGGGTGCATTAGGCAGAGTGTTGCCAGCAGGTGGAGGGAGGTGATCCTGCCCCTCTCCTCAGCCCTGGGGAGGCCTCCCCTGGAGTACTGTGTCCAGTTCTGGGCTCCCCAGT